TTACACTGAAATGTGGTATGTGATGCATAGTTTGACTCAGAGCCATTTAATTTTGAAAAAGGATTAAAAATTAATTTATTAATCTAAATATTACGCTTTTAACTTACACTGAAATGTGGTACGTGATGCATAGTTTTCCACTGGGTCTCTCGAGGAAGTTGTACACTTTGGTCTGTTCACTAATTACTAATATTTAGATTGTGTACGTTAACTTACACTGAGATGTGGTACGTGATGCATAGTTTTCCACTGAGTCTCTCGAGGAAGTTGTACACTTTGGTCTGTTCACTAATTACTAATATTTAGATTGTGTTCGTTAACTTACACTGAGATGTGGTACGTGATGCATAGTTTTCCACTGGGTCTCTCGAGGAAGTTGTACACTTTGGTCTGTTCACTAATTACTAATATTTAGATTGTGTTCGTTAACTTACACTGAGATGTGGTACGTGATGCATAGTTTTCCACTGGGTCTCTCGAGGAAGTTGTACACTTTGGTCTGTTCACTAATTACTAATATTTAGATTGTGTTCGTTAACTTACGCTGAGATGTGGTACGTGATGCATAGTTTTCCACTGGGTCTCTCGAGGAAGTTGTACACTTTGGTCTGTTCACTAATTACTAATATTTAGATTGTGTTCGTTAACTTACACTGAGATGTGGTACGTGATGCATAGTTTTCCACTGGGTCTCTCGAGGAAGTTGTACACTTTGGTCTGTTCACTAATTACTAATATTTAGATTGTGTTCGTTAACTTACACTGAGATGTGGTACGTGATGCATAGTTTTCCACTGGGTCTCTCGAGGAAGTTGTACACTTTGGTCTGTTCACTAATTACTAATATTTAGATTGTGTTCGTTAACTTACACTGAGATGTGGTACGTGATGCATAGTTTTCCACTGGGTCTCTCGAGGAAGTTGTACACTTTGGTCTGTTCACTAATTACTAATATTTAGATTGTGTTCGTTAACTTACACTGAGATGTGGTACGTGATGCATAGTTTTCCACTGGGTCTCTCGAGGAAGTTGTACACTTTGGTCTGTTCACTAATTACTAATATTTAGATTGTGTTCGTTAACTTACACTGAGATGTGGTACGTGATGCATAGTTTTCCACTGGGTCTCTCGAGGAAGTTGTACACTTTGGTCTGTTCACTAATTACTAATATTTAGATTGTGTTCATTAACTTACACTGAGATGTGGTACGTGATGCATAGTTTTCCACTGGGTCTCTCGAGGAAGTTGTACACTTTGGTCTGTTCACTAATTACTAATATTTAGATTGTGTACGTTAACTTACACTGAGATGTGGTACGTGATGCATAGTTTTCCACTGAGTCTCTCGAGGAAGTTGTACACTTTGGTCTGTTCACTAATTACTAATATTTAGATTGTGTTCGTTAACTTACACTGAGATGTGGTACGTGATGCATAGTTTTCCACTGGGTCTCTCGAGGAAGTTGTACACTTTGGTCTGTTCACTAATTACTAATATTTAGATTGTGTTCGTTAACTTACACTGAGATGTGGTACGTGATGCATAGTTTTCCACTGGGTCTCTCGAGGAAGTTGTACACTTTGGTCTGTTCACTAATTACTAATATTTAGATTGTGTTCGTTAACTTACGCTGAGATGTGGTACGTGATGCATAGTTTTCCACTGGGTCTCTCGAGGAAGTTGTACACTTTGGTCTGTTCACTAATTACTAATATTTAGATTGTGTTCGTTAACTTACACTGAGATGTGGTACGTGATGCATAGTTTTCCACTGGGTCTCTCGAGGAAGTTGTACACTTTGGTCTGTTCACTAATTACTAATATTTAGATTGTGTTCGTTAACTTACACTGAGATGTGGTACGTGATGCATAGTTTTCCACTGGGTCTCTCGAGGAAGTTGTACACTTTGGTCTGTTCACTAATTACTAATATTTAGATTGTGTTCGTTAACTTACACTGAGATGTGGTACGTGATGCATAGTTTTCCACTGGGTCTCTCGAGGAAGTTGTACACTTTGGTCTGTTCACTAATTACTAATATTTAGATTGTGTTCGTTAACTTACACTGAGATGTGGTACGTGATGCATAGTTTTCCACTGGGTCTCTCGAGGAAGTTGTACACTTTGGTCTGTTCACTAATTACTAATATTTAGATTGTGTTCGTTAACTTACACTGAGATGTGGTACGTGATGCATAGTTTTCCACTGGGTCTCTCGAGGAAGTTGTACACTTTGGTCTGTTCACTAATTACTAATATTTAGATTGTGTTCATTAACTTACACTGAGATGTGGTACGTGATGCATAGTTTTCCACTGGGTCTCTCGAGGAAGTTGTACACTTTGGACTGTTCACTAATTACTAATATTTAGATTGTGTTCGTTAACTTACACTGAGATGTGGTACGTGATGCATAGTTTTCCACTGGGTCTCTCGAGGAAGTTGTACATTTTGGTCTGTTCACTAATTACTAATATTTAGATTGTGTTCGTTAACTTACACTGAGATGTGGTACGTGATGCATAGTTTTCCACTGGGTCTCTCGAGGAAGTTGTACACTTTGGTCTGTTCACTAATTACTAATATTTAGATTGTGTTCGTTAACTTACACTGAGATGTGGTACGTGATGCATAGTTTTCCACTGGGTCTCTCGAGGAAGTTGTACACTTTGGTCTGTTCACTAATTACTAATATTTAGATTGTGTTCGTTAACTTACACTGAGATGTGGTACGTGATGCATAGTTTTCCACTGGGTCTCTCGAGGAAGTTGTACACTTTGGTCTGTTCACTAATTACTAATATTTAGATTGTGTTCGTTAACTTACACTGAGATGTGGTACGTGATGCATAGTTTTCCACTGGGTCTCTCGAGGAAGTTGTACACTTTGGTCTGTTCACTAATTACTAATATTTAGATTGTGTTCGTTAACTTACACTGAGATGTGGTACGTGATGCATAGTTTTCCACTGGGTCTCTCGAGGAAGTTGTACACTTTGGTCTGTTCACTAATTACTAATATTTAGATTGTGTTCGTTAACTTACACTGAGATGTGGTACGTGATGCATAGTTTTCCACTGGGTCTCTCGAGGAAGTTGTACACTTTGGTCTGTTCACTAATTACTAATATTTAGATTGTGTTCGTTAACTTACACTGAAATGTGGTACGTGATGCATAATTTGCCACTGGGTCTCTCGAGGAAGTTGTACACTTTGGTCTGTTCACTAATTACTAATATTTAGATTGTGTTCGTTAACTTACACTGAGATGTGGTACGTGATGCATAGTTTTCCACTGGGTCTCTCGAGGAAGTTGTACACTTTGGTCTGTTCACTAATTACTAATATTTAGATTGTGTTCGTTAACTTACACTGAGATGTGGTACGTGATGCATAGTTTTCCACTGGGTCTCTCGAGGAAGTTGTACACTTTGGTCTGTTCACTAATTACTAATATTTAGATTGTGTTCGTTAACTTACACTGAAATGTGGTACGTGATGCATAATTTGCCACTGGGTCTCTCGAGGAAGTTGTACACTTTGGTCTGGAAGGACTTCTTGCTCCTCTTCAGCACCATGTTCTCACTGTCCTCTATCAACTTGGCCACACTGTACAGTCTGGTCACAGAGGGGGCCACTGAGGGACGGTGCGACACACTCACGTTCACGGAGACTACAAAACAAGTGATAACTAGTCAATAACAAATATTATGACTACTATTAGTATTAATATTATTATTATTAATATTATATTATTATAATAATTATTATGATTTTTGTTAATATTATTATGATTATTATGATTATTGTTATTATTATTATGATTTTTATTTTTGTTATTATTATGATTATTATTATGATTATTATTATGATTATTATTACAATTATGATTACTATTATGATTATGATTATTATTATGATTATTTTAATTATTATGATTATTATTATTATGATTATTATGATTGTTATTATGATTATTATTATGATTATTATGATTATTGTTATTATGATTATGATTATTATTTTTGTTATTATTATGATTATTATTATGATTATTATTATGATTATTATAACAATTATGATTACTATTATGATTATGATTATTATTATGATTATTATTATGATTATTATGATTATTATGATTATTATTTTGATTATTATTATTATTATGATTATTATTATTATTATTATTGCGATTAATACTATGATGATTGTTATCAAATATTATTATTACTAGCTTATTACAAATCATTTTGCCAACTCAACTCCAAAAAAAAAAAGTAGAACTAAGATAGCTGGTTGCTGTACAACTAATTTTTTATTTTTAACATTTATCTTTTTACTTTTAACAAAACTGAACTGAAATTGTGAATGTGAAAACCAATATTTGAGGAAACTTCAGTAGAATTTACTTTTTCTTGCCATGGGAAACCTTAGAGCTCGAAACATTATACAGTTTTCTCTGAAATTTTTGGTTTTACGGCAAGCAAAACTCATATGATAGTTGCTGATAGCAACCTTGTGACAAAGTTTTTTCGGAGCAAACTTTGTGACAATCTTTATTTGAATTTTTTGAAGATTTTAATTAAATTTGCTCCGAAAAAAAAACTTTTTTTTGAAGAATAAAGATTTTGATCTACCTATGTTTTCACTGAGCTCGATCGAGCTCGAGAATTTTTCTATTTTCTCGGCCAAAATCAGGAATGTTTCCACTGTGTTTGACCTATTTTTCTACTTTCTAGACCAAACTCAGGAACGTTTCAACTTCTGTTAAAAACTATCATTTCGATCACCGAAAACTGACTGATTAAAAAAACCCACACCGAACAAAAATATTATGATTTTTTGGAAGACGGAACAATAATTTGCTAGAATGGTTTGATAATATCTAAAACTGCACTAAAATCTCACTCATCATTTTACCTTTTTCTCCTTTTTTAGACTTGTAAATTACACAGAAAAAAGTGCTGACCAATTTGACAACTGAGAACTACTTTAGAGATTTTTTTTGGAATCTGAGTAGGCAGCTAAGTGCGGTTTTATTACAATGTCACACTTGACCTTTAGCGAGCTTTCCCCAAGGTATAACCGGGAAGAAAAACCACAACCTACGCATTAGTTCCCATCGCCCTCTAGGATGTGGTTAGAACAAATACAATTCCAATTAACCTTATTGATGAAAAAATATATATCTGATACATTTCTCCACCAAAGCTAAAAAAAATTATGGGGTTTGACTTTCTCGACTAAATTATGGTATCCGCAGTTTGCGTTGAACAATGCAATTTATTCAGTTTTGATGATCAGTTGTACTGACAAACTCAAAATTCAAAACAACTTAACATCTCTTATAATGAATTTAAAAAAAGTGTTGTTGGTGCTCAAAAAAATATGAAGCGTTTTTTCTGTCAAAAAAGTTGATAATTCAGCAAAAAAATTTTGCTTAATTTTGGTACTAGATATACTTCGACTAATTTTAAAACAAACAGCGCAAGGGAAAAAGCATTTTTTGTTCCACTTATAAGAAAATGAGTGAAGTTTCCTATTACTGTTTTCAGAGCTAGATATCAACTCGTAGAATTTTCAACTGGCACTTTCCTGTGAAAATTTGAAATCCAGTCTATTGACCAGTGGATGGTTATTATCTAAGGCTACTATGATAACAAACAAACAAACAAAAAATAAATGTAGAAAGATATGAGCGAAACATCTGCAAAAAAGCCTTAAAGCATTGCACACAAATTAGAAGCAAAAAATGGAGCAAGAGCTGGGACGTACAAAAATATACAAATTAGGTCTGGAAAAAAGTATTGACCGACAATGAAGTTCTAAATGAGGACAAACAGAAAAAGAATCATTTGTCTTCCTGATTGAGCCAACTGTCCAGCTGGCGTATGGACTTACACATCGTCTAATAATAAACACCAGGAGCTTCAACCAGGAGGTAACACACATGCTACTACCCGGGCCGAGATCCCGCTCAAAAACCGCTCAGGATATGAACGGTTTGAGCGGTTTTCCAGCAAGATTTGAGCGGTTTGGGCGATTTTTTTTTTTGGAAGAACCGCTCAAACCACTCAAATCTTGTTTGAGAAAACACACAAAAACCGCTCATTTCTTACGGTGATTTTGGAACGGTTTTTCAAGCAGGATTTGAGCGTTTTTTTTCAGATAAACTACTCAAAACAGTTCAAATCTTGAGCGGCTTTTGAGCGGTATTTTTAATAAACCGTTCAATCCGCTCAAACTGCTCATTTTGAAGCAAGATTTTGAGCGCAATCGTCTAAAAAACCGCCCAAACCGCTTAAATCTTGCTTTATATTAGGTGAAAAATCTCGACTCGGGTAAGTCACTTGATAATGAAATTGATAGCAAAAAAGGAGCTCAATTGGGGCTTTAAAGATTGGAAAGAGCTGTGTTTGTTTGGGTACCGCCTTGCATTTAAAAAAAGTGAAAACAAATCGATGATAATGGATTTTTGTGGTCTAAAATGTTGTAAGCCTAATCGATTCCTATGTTACGCTCAGACACCAAAATTGGACTAAAAATGGATTTAAATCCATTTTTCTCGCAAAAACAAAATCCATTATGAGTCATTTGAAATCCATTATAATGGATTACATAATAAGTAAAAAATCACATTAAAATGGACTTTTTCCGCTTTCTTTTTGTTTCGAGACGTGCAAACTTTTGCAAGAAATTCTGCATTTATCAAATGAGTTATGCAGGAGCTTTTCAAAGCGAGTGTACGCCCTAGTCCATTTCTAAACCTAAACTCAATTTGCAAAAAGATTCTGTTACGCTCTCGCCCTCAACGATTGCCCCTTTGCTCCACCCCTCAACCCGAAACGTTTGCCCCCCCCCCCCTCCCGTTCCCCCCCACCAATGTGAGGGGGCTTGTAAAGGGTTAAAGTCTGAGGGGTTTTGGAAGGGGGATTAGTCCACTTCCAACTTTGCCAGGGGGGTATGGTGGGAAGGGGGATTAGTCCCCTTCCAACGTTGAGGTGGGGGGGGGGGGGCTTGTAAAAGGGCAAAGGCTTGCGGGTAATGGAAGGGGTATTATAGTCCACTTACAACTTTGTCACTCCCCCCATCCCCCAAAATTTCTAATAGTTTAAGAAATTGATGAAAGAAACAAAATCCGGCCCTTTTCCAGTTCCCATTCCCCTTGGAAAATTACAAAATTAAGTTGTATAAGAACTATTCACACGGAATTTTGCATTTTGTTGACAAGTTTTATTGCAGTTTAAATTGAGAAAAGTCGTTTTGAATTGATTTCCATATATTGATTTTCAAAAAAAAATTAAAAGAATTGGAAAAGAGCTCAAAACACTTTTACAGTTATTGCGTATAAAAAAAACGTAACAAAAATACCAAAATTAGGCAAAAAGAATTTATTTGAACAACAAGTAACCAGTTTCAGTTTAAAATGTAGAAAAGACTTTATGTACATTGAAATTCGCATCGGAGTAATGCGGAAAAAAATCGATTTTAACTGAATTTTGTTGTCAGTATCCACAAAAGTGAAACAAAATCGATTGTAATGGATGAAAAAAGGATTTTGTTGGCTCGAAAAATAGTAATATTATAATCCATTTTTAATTGATTGTAATTGATTTGTTTTCAATTTTGTGGTCATGACAAGGAAACTCAATTATAATCGAGTTTTATTTGTGGAACTCCAATGCAGGGCGAGAACTCGCAAGAAAAGACAGATCGCAACAAAAGACAACTCGTAAAATTTAAGGAAAGCGACAACTCGCAAGTTTTTGAAGCTAATAAGAAACTTTATTCTCGGTTTAAGGTCGCCGGCTCTTAATTTCGTATAAAGTACTACCCTCTGTCGGCAAGCTCGCAACACGTTGGCGCGACTGCGGCGGTGAGTATGTTGCGAGTTGCCTTTTAATGCGAATTGTCTTTTGTTGCGAGTTGTCTTTTCTTGGGAGTTGTCGCATTACGGTTTGTCTGATAACATAGATGTTTCATTGTGAAGTTCCATAAACTTGCAAAGAAAAGAAATTGATATAAATTTGATATATAATTGTGGTGCGCCTTTAATAATACAAAAACAAATAATTATGTGGGTAGGAACACTTTTGAGACAATTTTTAAAAAATCAAAAAAAAATGGCCGTTTTTGTCAAAAAAAATTGTTGCTTCAATTTTTTTCTATCGCCCCACTAGACGAGATGATATTTTTAGATCAATCAAATTATTCGTATTATTTCTGTTTATAAGGTAGCTGGTACCTTTAAAGTTCAAAGTTGAACCTCCCAGGTGGATACATACCTGTTGAAAGTCCGTTGTTGATGCCAGTTGTGCCCACACTCGACAACCTTTTTCTTCTGAAATAACAAAAGGAACTTAAATCTAGCATGAGAATTCTCCAACCCATCAATGAAACCCCAAACACCGAACTTTCTCCTCGCTGAAATTTTGATTTCTTATTTAATATCGCGCATTGATTTCACCTGGAAGGATGGATTCTTTATCTAAGAAAACTGTTAAAGTTTATGTAACTCCTAGCAATAAGTGGTCAACGAATCTGCAACGGGACGTCTTTCTTTTGTTCTATTTAATCAAATGATTCCATTGACTGAGAGAAAGATTTATTACCTCTTTCTAATCACCTAATCTCCAATTTGTTAAGAAACAAATGATTTTTCAGAGTTCTCAGCAGTGCTTCAACTTCCATAGATTGAAAAACAAATGCTTCCTTAAAATTTGACCAAATTTTTTGTTTGTTTAAATTTTTGAAAGCTAATTTTTGGAATAAAAAGAGGGAAACTTCATTGACACTTATTTATCACTACTTTCTTGTCTAAAATTACCGTTTAATATTAAAATTTTGACAATGACTTTATAATGTTTTTATAAAAAAAAAACATTTAAAAGATATATTTTAAATGATTTTTTTATAAAAACATTATAAAGTCATTGTCAAAATTTTGATCTTAAACGGTAATTTTAGATTGGTCGCCCTAAAATTCCTCGGGCTCCTTTCCTTAGATTGAATTACCGGAGATCGACGCCCCTGCTAGCCAAGGACGGACTTCTCTGGATTTGGTTGATCTTGTGCTTGTAGTTTGGGTTGAGCAGAGCAGTCGCTGGTATTATTGAACTTGTCTTCTGGAGTTGACTGTTTTTTTTTGCAATATAGGGTTGGCAGGACAAGTTTTCTGACAATATATCTACCAAGATTTCTATTTGCTGTATCTCTGAGAACTAGCGTGAAAAAGTAACTTGAAACGTCAAAACGGTTTGTAAATGTTTGTTTTTGTCAAAAAATTTTGATCTACAACAAAGTTACTTTGTCTCAAAAATATGCATAGTTGTCGTTGTTCTGCTATTGTTTTTGCTCAAAAATATATTTTGTTTTGCGTAATTTATACTTTTCATATATTTTATAATTACTCATTTGGTTTTTTTGTAAGAAGTATTATACTCTTATTATGATCTAGATTTGAAAAAAAGAGTGTTTCGAATGCGCAGCTTTCCAGTTTCGAATACTTTGCCAATGTTTGCCAACCCTGTGCTGGAGTAAGGATCAAGGAGACTGTTGGCTCTGGTCTTGTTCTTGTTTTCCTGTTGCTGGATGGGGGATTTGGGGTTAGAGAAGCAGTCCGACTCTGTTGAATCTCGGACGGATCCAGGTCGAACTGAAAAGGAAAACAAACTCGATCTATTCACTTAAGTGAATTCACTTTTTAGCTATATTGCGACAATGCGCGATCCATGTTGCGACTTTATGCGACTCAAGCCCCTTGCGGGATGATGGAATTTCGGTCGCAGATGGTCCATCTCGACTACCCAATTCCTTCGCAACATGAGTCGCGGACCTCGGCCCGGGTAATGAAGACTCATGTTGTGTTTTTTTTGGGGTGCTTGTTTTGAAGAAAATTCCAGCCACCAAAAGATGAGCATCAGTAGTAGCCGGATAATATAAAAAAATATGAGTCAATTTTAGACCTGTGGTGACGTCGCATAGACAAATCGACCCAAGATAGACAATTCAACATTTTTAAATAAATTAATTGACGATTCAGCCAAAATTACCCAGACAGTCCAGCCAGTTAAAATTCAGAGAGTTTTCCAACTGGCTAGACTTGAAAAAAATTGGAATAAAATTTTACTCTTGCCTTTATGTCACTAGCAATAACTGTACCATTGTGTGGTTTGATTGAGATTTTCTTTTATTTCTTTTAAAAGTTTGCTCTAAGGCCATTAACGAAAGATTTTTTAATTTAAAGACATTTAAATATTCATGTTAGTTCTTAGCTGTTAATGACTAATTTGTAAACGTCAGGTTAGCAGTGACACTCTACCCCTCCCTTAACTCGATCCAGAGAAAAATCACGACATAGTTTTTTCCCAACAAAACGCAAAGTTTTACTGATGCACATACATGATCAAGATAATTTTATCTACAGAGTTAAAAAGAACTGCAAAATCAAACAAATACAACATGACAAAATTGCAAGACTGCTATTACTAAAAAATTGGTGAACCATTGCCGGTTCAAGGCAATATCGTAAATAACATTACTCATTCAATTGAAGAAAAAGCTTCTTTGAAGCCTGTCATACCGCTACTGCAGTAGCAGTATTTATTATACGTATGTACAGCCAACCTCTGGTGTTAGATCATTATTTTATGGTACGCTCAAGGTCATACATAAGTGATGACACTGAGACTAAGTGAGAGATCAGAGTACTTAACAATGATCTATCTCTCAGTACATAAGAAAACAAAGAAAAGAGAAAATCTAAATTCAATCTTCAGAATACAGTATTGAATTCCAACTTGTTTTCAATTTGATATCGCAACGCATATCACATGGCGCAGCCAGCAGGATTCGCAGCTCAAGACAACAGAACGGATATGGGAATCCCGGTATTTTGGGCATCAGCGAATCTAGACCCTCCGTGGCAATTTAAAATTTGGTTCGAACAATTTCTCATGGCGGTTACGGTCAAAGAAAATGTGAACCCAGAGATTATTTTGGAAGAACCAAAAGACAGATTAGAGGAACCACCACCACGCCCGGAAACGCCCAGGGATGGGGAGAACGAAGATGCGAGGAACGCTAGAATTCTTAGAGATAAACTAGCTAGAGACAGAGTAGCATTGGAGAACGAAGAGAAAAGAACAAGAGGCCCACGAGTCGGACACAATGTCTTCTACAACGAAGTACAAAAGAAACTGGTGTCACGACTATTTCTATCTTTGGGCACTGAGGGAAAGAAAAGATTCCTACAAAAGAATCCGCACGCAGAAATATCGAAAATGACGTTCAGAGAAATAACAGAGTTGGCAGAAGTCTCGTTTCAAAAAGTGAAATGTGTAACATACGAGAGATACAAGTTATTTACGAGAATGCAAGAATCTGGAGAATCTCTAGAATCATTCCACGCAGCGTTAACTGCTCAAGCAGCCCGATCAGAACTAGGAACATTGGAAAATGAAATAGTGCGAGACTTGTTCATCTCGAAGATGAAGAACATGACATTACAGGACACGTTGACATTCGAAACTCTGGATCCAGAGGAAGTTCTAAAAAGGGCTATAAAATTCGAACATAGCAAGTTAACCACAATGGCATTTCAAAAGACTAATGCTGCGGCTGCAGGAGGATCAAGTAGCAATTACACATCGGGTGTAAGAATAAAACAGGAACCTGTAATGGCAGTTCGAAATTTGGGGGGGAAAACCAAAACTCCAAATAGAAGAGAAAATAATAACAGACAGAATAATAACAAAAATCAAAACACGAAAACAAAACCATGTAATAGATGTGGAAGGACGTTTGAACAAGGACACCTAAAAAATTGTCCAGCGATGGGAAAGGACTGTAAAAACTGTGGTAAACCAAATCATTTCGCTAAAATGTGCAGATCACAACAAGTAAGTGAAATTGCGGAAGATTCGGAAGAATCGATAGTGGAATGCGACCAGATCAGTGAAGGTGTTGGGTCATGTAGTGAATTTGAAGTCATGTTGATACAAACTCAACAACCGGAAAATGAACGAGTTTCAAAATATGTGAAAGATCGAATAAATGAGATGAGAAAAGAAACAAACGGAAAAGTGGTTAGAGTTCAGAAAAAAGACTCTATTCGAGATCCAACATTGAACCGCGTAAAGTCACTAAAGGCTATGGTACGAATAGATAACCAGATTATTCAGCTAACAGTGGATACTGGTAGTCCTGTTTCATTTCTTAACTGGGCAACGACGAAAAAAATCATGGAAAAATCAAACAAAGTGAGATTCATACCGTCTGACAAATTGAACTTACAAACAAAATTTGTGGACTACAACAAACAACCGATCAGTATCCTGGGAGCCCTAAAAACCAATCTGAGGTCAGCGGGCTGGGAAGTTAAGGGCGCAACCTTTCTGGTATCAGAGCGAAAAACTAGATGCATCATGGGATTAGACTTGCAAGGACAAGTGGGAATAGTGACTACACAAAGAACAGCGCCAAAAGAACTCACCAGGTTTGACGTGCTCATGTGCGAGCAGTCGGAAGGTTGGAAAGAAAAATTTTTAAATAAATTTAAGAACTTATTTGAAAGCCAAGGCATTTCTAAAAACCACATCGTCAGTTCAAAATTCAAATATCCACTATGTCCGATACAAGAAAAGGGGAGAAGAATCCCAATTCATATACAAGATAAAGTCGAAAAAGAAATCGAGAAGTTATTGAAAGAAGGTCATATAACAAAACTTGATAAGTGTACAAGTGATTGCTTTATCGCCCTGATTGTGATAACAGTAAAGAAGGACGACTCAACAAAATTGGCAATGGACGCGAAACCAATCAATAGACAATTGTTCAAAAACAAATACCAACTGCCGAATGTAGATGAACTTATTGATGGGGTAAGCCAGATTGTAACTGAAAACAAAAAGGGTACGCTATATTTTTCGGTGTTAGATTTGAAATATGCGTACAGTCAACTAAAATTGGCTGCGGATACAGCTAGGCAATGCAACTTTAACATTGTGGGAGGAAAAGCAACCGGAACTTACAGATTCTTGACAGGATTCTACGGACTAGCAGATATGCCAGCTGAATTTCAAAAGGCTATGGATAGAACCATCAATCACGCTAAAAACACGTTCTGTTTTCTGGATGACATACTTATTGTGTCAAAGGGAAGTGAAATCGAACATGCCAACCTAGTAGAAGCAGTATTAAAGAAATTGGATGCGGAAAACTTGGCACTGAAACTATCAAAATGTGAATTTTTCAAACAAGAAGTGAATTGGTTGGGTCATCATCTCTCAGAAGAAGGGGTTAGACCGAAGATCACTAAAACGGAAGCGGTAGGAAACTTGAACCCGCCGAAATCCCTAAAACAACTAAGGTCATTTCTAGGAAGCATAAATCATTTAGCTAAATTTATACCTAACGTAGCAAGTCTGACAGAAAAAGTAAGACCACTTCTTAAAGAAGAAAATCAAAAGACAAAGTTAAAAAACATGAAACTCCCGGTGAAAAAATTCGAGTGGGGGGATGTTCACACAGAAGCATTTAATGCTATAAAAGGAGCTGTGGCGAATATTCCGAAAGTGCATTATTATGATGCAAATCGTGAAACACGAGTTAAATGCGATGCTAGCCATGATGGACTAGGGTCCACTTTAGAACAACAAAATGATTAAGGGTTGTGGGTCCCAATTTCGTTCGCATCCCGATACCTAAATGCTCAAGAAAAAAAATATTCAACAAATGAGTTGGAATTATTGGCAGTTGTTTGGGCAGTAGATAGATATAAACACTACCTTCTGGGGAAACCATTTACCATCGCAACTGACCATAAAGCGCTTACAACAGCATTGGATGTTAATCAATCGAACAAGACCTACCAATCACGCTTAATCCGGTGGGTTGACCGGTTACTGCCGTATCAGTTCAACATAGTTCACATTCCGGGGAGGGACATGGGCATAGTTGATTATTTATCGCGTGATCCTTTCAATGATCCCTGGCCCGAATCAGAATTAGACGAAAAGTTTGTAGTAGCGACAATAAACTGCTTTCATGAAGCGTTCGACTGCTGGAACAGTAGGCTTAAAGATTCAAGGTCGCTCAACCGGAACGAAAACATTCTAGAATGTTCTAGAAGGAATGTTAGGAAACAGTCATCAAGTAATGGTTGCTATAGCAACCAAAACGGTCAAAACCGAACAAAGCTCGACCGGAACGAGAGAAAACAGTTTCCACGACTGCAAAAACAGCTGAACACAACAGTTCAACAGAAACAAATCACTCTTTCGTCAAATCAACCCAGCAAACAGTCAGTCTTAAATAATTGCAAAATAAAAAAATGACCAGTACCGAAAAAAATAGAAAAAACAGACTCAAGAATCGAGATGTCAGAAAATGCAAACAGAACATACGACTGGTGGTCCAGCTCACCACAAGATTGGCGGAATGAGGAGCGTGAAGAAAGCCTAATGGACCCAAAGTGGAACCGATCATTTTCCACCAATAACGAACTCTCGGGAGAGGAGGAGATCACAGAGACAGTACAACGTACGAGAAAAATTATACGAGGAGGCAGAAAAAATAGGGACAGCTCAGACAGCGAAACACGTCAAGCACAACGAGTAAAATGGTCGCTGGAACCGGAACAACAACGAATAGCGG